CGTTCGATTTTATAACCCTCCCGCATAATGCTATGGCTGATGCTTCTGATGAAAAGTTCATTAAGCGCAAAGCGCAGGTAAGACGATGATCCCTCACGGACGCAAGCGCGTGCACACACACACACACACACACACACACACACACACACACACACACACACACACACACACACACACAGTCCTGCAGTAGAAACCATTCCCAACCGTCACACGCACAGGATTTAACGCCTCCTTGGCCAAAATGGACAGGCTGGCCTTATTGTCAATTGCTATTTTCAGGATCCCTGAGCTTCCATCCAAATCAAATCTGCGATGCTCGGCACTCAGCGCTACCAATCTTGTTGCAGCCGGAGCTGCTCTCCACGTACTGCTTCACCTGGCAAGAGTCTACCACATTTCTTCCCTGCTTGGATGCTCGTGGGCAAAAGGACGCCCCTTCTGGTGGTTGAACATGGAAATGCCTCCCTACAGTTTAACATGGAACCCCAAAAACCACATTTGTAGAGGACTTCCTTTGGGGGACGCCTTTTTGGGTTCCTTGTAGGGGGGGAAAGGAAACAAACATTCACTCCAACAACGACTTTATTTGTTGGTGCGAACTGCACAGACATGAGATTTCTTCTTCGCGGCGTGATGCCTCGCCTTTCCCTGCTCAAGAGGGAGCTTCTCAAAATTGGGGTGTCCCTTTTTTGGATGGTTTCACGGGAAACCAAAAGTAAACCAAGCATCTGAAGGGGTCGCTAACTTTCAGAAAGCCCCCAAGAGAGCAGCTTTAGCGCATTGAATGACTTGTACAGTCGCATGTGCATATTCCGTCACAGCTTAGGTCTGTGGCTTGCACGGTCCTTCCTATGCTCAGCTTCGCATCAGTAAACACCCACTGGCCACGAATGTCTATCGACCGACAAAACTCTCCCCCGTAGTGCCTGAAAGCGCATGCCGTGAATATATCAATGAACCTCTTCAAAAGCTGGTGGACACTCCCCACCTAAAGATGTCCAACGGGCCGAATGAAACTGTCATCTGGAAAACAATCTGAGGAGTGAAGAGGTGCGATGTTTAATGGAGCAGCAAATGGACGAGGCCAAACAATCTGAACCCTGCCACCATAGTATCACCAGGACGCAGTGGTAAAGGACCAACAATTGGACAACGCCAAACAATAGGCTTCCAGCTGCCACAATTTTGTCACAAGCCAGTCTCTTTTCATTGATGCATCTCAGGCGATATGTACAGGCTTCCTATAACATAGATGACATCCTCCCTTAAAACATGTGCGGGGCTCCCGTAAAAAAGAAAAACATCACGACCGTATCTGCAAAAAGCAGTTGAATCACTCCGAGTTCTATCTCACGGTTCCCCCTTCAAACCCTTCAAGCCGCCTTCCTCCACCCCCTCACAACTTGGCTGGAATTAGGACCCCAGCAAAAAAACGTGTTTTTAGCCTGGTTGGTGGAAAACAAAGGAAACCCCAAAAAAGCAACAACATAAAAAGGGGAACTAATTCTGGGGAAGAAAAGGACACTGTTCTGTGGTCTCTTATGGAAACTTTTCGGCTTTTGGCGAAGCTGGGCGAAGCTCGCCTGCCTCAGCCCAGGTCGCATCGTCAATGTCTGGGAGCCTGGTGATCTCCTCGGCGTGGTTCGGCGAAGAGAAGCCAAAGGAAACCAGAAACCAACATCTCAACCCCAGGAGGTGGGTCCAAAATATGTACCTAGAGTCTCCATGACCCTTTAAAAATGGGGTCATTACCCAAAACAATGGGGTCATGGACCTATTTTTAAAGGGTTATGGAGACTCCAGGTACCCAAAATGGAACCCTGGCAAATGGAAACATGACTGCCACCTGTGGTCCGATTCCTGGTTTAATTTTGACCCACACCCAGGATAATGCTCTGAGATCCATATGGCTGTTTCTCAAAATAGGGCTCCCCTTCTGGGATCGTTTCAAGAGGGAGCCAAAAGGAAAACAAGAACAGATTGGGGTCCCCTACTTTGAGAAACACCCATCCATGCATTGATTAACATATCACTATAATACGTCAATCATAAGTATAGATGTACCAATGCAACACCTCGGGTCATCAATCCGTGCGACCATGGCAACTTAAACAAGCCAAAAACATGAACATGCAAGCAATAGCGACAGGGTGTCTTCATTCAAATGGCAAGTGGTGAGTGCGTTGGCTCTAGCGAGTTGGGAACAGCTCTGAATTTCCGCAATCTCCAAGTTGGTTAAAACAAGTTATATGCGTAACCAAGTTCTTTTTTTAGAAGTATGAATATGCATAAACCACATGAATAACATAAAGAAACACAATGGTTATATAAACATCTTTAACAGCGCACTCTACACGTCCGACTGAGCCCCGTGCCATAGTCGTGCCATCCGAAATCCTGAGGGTTTCCTCGGCGAGGAAACGCATGGCCTCTCTGATGATCTCTGTCAGAAACATGGAAGTGCGCAAGCCTTTCGTGGAATGCTGACTTCCTTCTGGAAAGAGAGGCTGTTTGCTTTATTTGCATGCTTGGTGGTGGAAAGCGGTAGCAAAAGAACAATATACTGTAGACCTTCTGCAGAACTTGCATCTGCTTGTCAGCGCAATCCAAACCTTAGAGCATCCATCAACTTCACCAGGATCCCTACCAGGATAGCCTAAATTCGCATCTGGCCTTGGTGATGATTTTGCTGTGCGTCAAAGTAGGTTTCCAAAACGGTTTGCGCTGGAAAATGGAAAGGACTAAAACCTGATTGTTCAATTCCTGCCTGTTTCATTTGGTCAAACTGTCCAAGGTCAAGGTCACTGCAGAAGGGTCAAAGGCGAAATCTGCCAATAAACCTGAGCTTGCACAACTAGAGGGATGATTTCTAAGGACCCCTGGTGGTTTCATTTGGCCATGGGTCAAAACCCAAATCGTACATTGGTTTTGACCCACAGCCATTTTGAGCCATACCCATTTTAGGACCGGAAGCCAGTCACGCGTTGCCCGGCTCGCCGGGCGGCATTCTTGGCATCTGGAGTCGCCATGGCAACACGGCCAAATCTCACGCTCAAGCCCAAACGGCACATCCGCCTTTTGCCGCCCAAGGCGGTCGGTGAAAACGCCCCACCGCTGTAGCCCTGAATGTTGACCCCATATTCATCAACCCTAGTTTATCAAGAGGTCTTCCCGGGCGAAAAGTGGACATCATCACTTTTGGAGAAAAACACTCCCTGGCAAACTGGGGTTGATTCATATGGGGACAACCCCGTTCAATTCGCCAAAAGGTGAAAACCAGAAAATGTGAACAATGGATGAGCCCCCGGCCAGGAGCAACATACAAAGCATTGTGTAGTACCCCTCAACAGCGACCGGACTGCCCTGTTGCCCGCCTTATTGCACAAACTTAGAACGAGAAACGATCTCAACCAAGTTGAATGGCGCCTCATTGAATGGAATTGGGAAATCACCAGCGGCCAAGTGACACTGGCTTGCTGGACCACCTGGATTGAAATTTGCAGTTGCTTCCGGCAGGATGAAATGCAAAATCGTCTCATGTCGAATTCACTGCTCAAGTCAAAGGCTGATTGTATAGGCATATGAACCCATGGTCAGTTTGGACCCTGTGGGGGACTGATTTCCCATAATTGAGGTTGTATATTAGGGGTTCGTCAAAATTCGTATATGGGCATTTACATTCAGCCTTTCAACAACAGTTCGGTAAGTTCAATATCGCTTGGGTGTCAACAAACGGGCCTGGAAAACAACGCTTCGATGGGCTCTCACCGCGCGGTTTTTCGGTCCAGAGTTTTCTGTCTGTTCAATGCGTCTTGGGGTTTTTACGCCCACAGACGCTGCTTGTTTTCATCGATGTTCAAATATGCCCTTGGGGCAATGATGATAATGTGTGCGTGAACGTGGATGCTGATCAAGTGGCAGGCATGCACGCAATGATGATAATGTGTGCGTGAACGCGGATGCTGAGCATGTGGCAGGCATGCACGCAACGATGATAATGTGTGCGTGAACGTGGGCGCTGATCATGTGGCAGGCATGCACGCAATGATGATAATGCGTGCGTGAACGTGGATGCTGATCATGTGGCAGACATGCACGCAACGATGATAATGTGTGCGTGAACGTGGATGCTGATCATGTGGCAGGCATGCACGCAACGATGATAATGTGCGCGTGAACGTGGATGCTGATCATGTGGCAGGCATGTACGCAATGATGATAATGTGTGCAATGATGATAATGCGCGCATGCACGCAACGATGATAATGTGTGCAATGATGATAATGTGTGCGTGAACGTGGATGCTGATCATGTGGCAGGCACGCACGCAATGATGATAATGTGTGCAATGATGATAATGTGTGCACGCACGCAATGATGATAATGCGTGCGTCAATGTGGGTGCTTATCATGTGGCAGGCGTGCGCTCAGTCATGAAAGTGTGCCCGTGAACGCAACATACGCCCACTGCTCCAAACCCGCGCGCAGGTCGTCAAAAATGGCCCTGAAACCCTTGTTTACAGTGGGAAACGAAACGCGAAAAGCGCGCGGAAACACCCCATCGGAGGGAACAACAAACAGTCCCTTGGCATCCAGTGGGAAAATGAAGGCATGGGAATTCAGCATGCCACAATGGGCTACAATGGCTACAACCTGTAAGTAGCTCTAGCCGTATCCCCCCCATCCAAGTGAAGGATTGAACAGTTGCCACATGGGTGGCTCGTCTTTCTTTAGGACTCAGATCCTCCAAAACGGCGAAGCCGCTGGTCCTCTTTTCCCAACAAAACGAGTACCAACTCAACAAAAAGATATCTCCATATGGCCATGGGTCAAAATCCCGTACCCCCAGTGAACATCCCAATCCCCACTAAAATAGATTCTAAAATGGGTGGTGCATCGAAAATCCCAAAATGGGATCCCATTGGCTTTGACCCACGGCCATATGGTTGCCATATTGCCACCTCCAAATCATAGCACGCCTCCCAGGCTCAGAGCCCCACGGCTTGACAGCGAAGAGAACTGCCTCCCAAGCAGATCTTCCAGACAAACAAAAGCTGGATGTGTCGAGTTGTTTAAGAGTTGGTTCCCTTTTTGGTTGGGTTTTAATGGGGAACCGAAAGGAACCTGAAATCCATTTGTTGGGGGGTCCGATTCTGGGAAACTAGAGGGTAAAAAAGACAGCTGTGGGTAAATACAAGTGTCATCACTCGATTTGTGTTGAGGACGGCATCTCAAAATTGTCTCCGCACCCGCATGTTTCCCATGGTCGCTTCCTATTTGTGGCTTTTGTTCGGCATTTCTAGTTGAGTTACACAACTGCAAAACAAAGAACAAAAAAACAATAATGCCGTGCTCCAAGAGAATGTCGCCCTGGCTTCGCATGTTTCTCCAAACACCGTTGGCAATAATAGCAAACTGTGAAGGTCAATGGCAAATTAATTAAGGCCAACACATCTCATCTTGTTTCAGCTATGCCCTGATAGCCTTGTAGCGAACTGACCGCCTATTTCAGCTGTAGGAAGCACACAAAAAGCGGCTCGATCAAAAAAAAAGAAGTAATGATGCTTGTGCCAGCAACCCGAGGGTTAGCCTCCAAATTTGACGGCTGCAACAAATTATGTGTTAACACTGGGCTGCCTTGAGATTCCCCACTAAAAGTTTAACTTTTCGCGGGTTACATGGAAATCCCCACTAAGCCAACTAAAAGATCTAAAAAGCTAAGGAACCGGATGGCTGGGAGCCACCACGTGTTGCGTTGGGTCTTTCCGTGAAATCTTTGCGCTCCACATATCCAGAAACTTCCCAATGTTCTCTACCACTATTCCCTGCCAATCTCAACGGGTGGCGAGTTGCTCCAGGAAATGATGCATGACACCGGGCTTTGAATGTCCGGGAAATGCAGAAGCAAACAAGACACTTGCACGCCATGCCCTAGGAGGCTCAGAATCATCTTCCGGAATTTATTCACGTAAAACACTGATTCCAAGCGACATGGAAATCCAATTCAATCATTGTATGATGCAGTTCTTATTCCAAACACATTATGTGATGAAGAACATTGTTGGAAAGCAAATCCTATCTGAAGAATGTGATCTTGTGATGCTTTTGCATGTCGGTTTAGTAAGTTGTTCATGAAACTCTGTTGGGCATCTAACAAATGCCAACGTATATTGCAGTTGCAACTTCAAACCTATTTCAATATCAGCATGATCGTTCTATTCACGGCCTATCCAACTCTGGATGTATTGAAAATTATGTTCAGTTCAATTTAAACTTAAACGATGTTCCATTTCCTCATATTTAAAGTCCGTTTGAACTTGAACTAAACTCCAGGTCCCATCAACTGTGAAAAGGAATTCATTCCTATCTAAATTCCTTTTTTTTTTATCTATAATGGCAATTTATTCTAATCACATTTTATATTTCAGAACAATTGGACACCAATACATATCCACATTCTGTGTTGCCTATCTGTCTCGATATGATTGTTCAACTAACCTAATGACAATGAAACATGGAAGGAATTCCAACTTAAACTGCTGTTTCAGATCCAAACCAAAAGTCAGTTTTAACAGACTGTATTTCCTTAGATCCTTCGAGTTAAGTTCTAACGAAATCCACATCACATTTGGAGAACACTCCTATTGAAATTGCTATTGCACGTTGGCCTGGACTCCATTCCCTTCGCTATGTCCGTTCACATGCTCATTAAGCACGAACTGAGCCAGGCCACAGGGAAAGTGTGTCAAACCATGATCCTCCATTTGCTGAAGTCCCCTGGGAAAAATATATATATATATATATTTCCAGTAGTGATAGATTCCCTTTAAAACCAACAGGGGAAAACATATATTCTTAACCAAATGGAAGTGATGAATCTGTGCCTGGGCAAACCACTGTAAACTACCGGTGTATTTCAGCAATTGTCTCTCTCATTTTGTTGCCCTCAAACAAATCGCATGCCGAATTGGGAGCTGTTCGAAGCAAAGAAGTCGGATTTCGATATAAAATTGACTTCACATATTTCATCCGGGAATCTTCGGTCCTCAATCTTCGATCCAAGTCTCCAAAGCAAAAGCTTCTAAAAAACATATAAAGTGCGTTCATATTGAAGCTTTGATGGCAGGCCAGGAATGAAAATGTCTCTTCTGGGGAATCTTCAATCTTCACTCGCGGATCCAGAGAAAAGAAAACACAAAGCTTTCGACATCGCAGAACTGCCGTATCCACCCGGAAGCGCCCAGCATCTGAGTGGACAATTTACAAAAGAAAAACACATTGCAAAATGTACATATGCAGAATAATTGTGCTTTCCCCAAACACAAACAGAGGCCGCGAGAAAATGCGCAAACACAAACAAGCAAAAACACTAAAAGGATATGAGGATGTTTGGATTGTTTCCCAGCTTTCCCTTGGCAGATTGCTGGTGTTTGATTTTGATTTGATTGTTTTCTTGGGGTTCTCTGGCTTGTGGGGGGAAACACCATTACCCTGGCAGATTGTCTATTTATATTTTGCGCTTTTGCTCGAGGTTTGTTGGCTGTCTTCAAAAAAACATGGTATGTTTGCTACCAACCCGCAACTTGACATCAAGACCACGCTGGAGTTCAAAGAGCTGTCTATCAAGAAACACACAATCCATGTGACTTGCACAAACCACGCGTTCAAGGTACGACAAAAACATCACTCAGAGGTGGATTTGTGAACTTTTTCTGCTTCGAAATTCGCCCCGGAATGATGTTCCGACTTCAGACAGCTCCTTGTCTACTTCCCAGTTGGCCGGTGAATATGCCCAAGCAAGAAGGGGCTTTCTTGAGCCAGCATTTTTCGTGGAGAACCTACCGGTAAACCTGAGTGGAGAAGGTAAGGTACCGCTGAACCACTCATTTCCCAAGTTGGCCTCAACGGACAAACACCGCGAAGCCCAGACTCCAAAAAAGCGTGAGGTCCAACATGGAAACTGAGCCAAAAGGGTGCCATCGCCTGTGTCTTTGCCAGCGCACCGCAAAGCTTCGGAAGCAGCAATGGAGATGCCTCCAAAGCTGAAACGAGAAGCAATTTGTCCCTGGCCCAAGTTTCACTTTTCGCTTTGCGAAAGAGTCGAATTCACTTCCTGAGTGCCCAAAAAAGGCGAACTGCTTATTATCCACAAAAAACGTGGCTAAAGTCCTGGTTTTCCACTCACATGATCCTTACTTATCACTAAAACGATCCAAACCCAAAAAGTGACTCAAGTCCGAGTCCCGGAACTCTGGGAGTGAGCAAAGGATTGAAGGTCTGACCGCATAAGGCATAAGGTAGGCCCTGAAGTAAGCTGCTTGGAAGGCCAAAAACAGCAGAAGTCTCAATGAGTGCCACTTTTCTTGAAACCCCGAAGAGATCAAATATCCACATATCCACCAGGTGTCTGCTTCTTAAATAAGAAGGCACAAAAGTCCTGACTTCCTTTTGCCCATCTCACCAACCACAAGCGGTCCTCAAATCTTTGTCAGCCAGAGCGGGGGTTTGCTCCATGGGTCCTACCGGCGTCTGGCTACAACAAGCTTGTTCCAAACCTGGTTAACGTTGAAGGGGAGCAAACAAATTAAATTTTAGCAGTTAAGTGGGGATTTTGGACCCCGGAATCTGCGACGCGGCGGAAGCGCCGCGGAAGGATTTTTCATTTTTTGTCTGTTGTGTAGTTTGGCTTGGTAGTTGCGGGTCACTTAGGATTGCTTGTGGTGTAGATTGCGAGCTCTTTTTTTGGCGTGTAGTCGAGGTTGTGTTTTTGTTCTGGTATTTGTGATGGTCTAGCTTGTGACTGTGCTTGCTGTCGTGCGCTTTATGCTTTGTGTTGTGGCTTGGAATGGCAATTGCCTGCCGTGAGGATTTATGTTGGCGTAGAACCAGAAGTCACCAGCACGTGGAAATGTTTGCCATTGCATGGCCAAAGCTAGACCAAATGCGAATGCCAGGAACCAGTTCTTGAGTCCTTGGCGTCTTGACGTATGGAGAACCTGAAACAAACGGTATTTGAGATACTCTGAAAGTGCCAGCGGGCGAGGAAGCATGAACGTGAATCTCTCAACCATTAAGATCCAACTTGGGGCCGTCCTGTCGTGTTTGGCAAAAACAATCATCTTCAAACCCTTGGCATGGTAGCACATAACTTTGTTTGTTGCAGCCCCACAACTTAAAGCGAACAGCACCAACCCATTAAACAAAAGTACACACCTAAGATTTGGTTGGTTGCAGCCCCCTACAAAAAATACGAAGGATCAGAGCCGACAAAACAAACCACGTGCCAAGAACTCCGAAGTCCATGTGAATCGATCGACCGCTTCCAAGCGATCGACCGCTTCCAGGGACTGCCTCAGCCAGCAAGAGCCGCCACTCTCCCTGGCAAACGCCGGAGATCAACCCGGACCTTTAACGGAAACTGATCAACCCCCGGTAGGGCTAGGTCCGCTAGGTCCGCTAGGAAATGAGAGGCTAGCAATTAAGTTGCTACCAACTTTTCTCGGTTTTGTCTATTCTAGTAGGGGAACCCTCCCAACCAAAACAGAAACGGGAAAAGGGCACTAGTTTCTTGTTGGCCTTGCCTCCTGTCATTTCGGTCTATGCAGCCATGGCCCTGACACGCTGCTCGAAACATACAAGTACTGCAGGTGCTCTGCCCTCGCATTTGACACCCAACTGAGATTCAACACTGCCCTTTTTCAGCTAAACCCAGCAAACTTTCCACTACCAAAAAGATCAGTTTCCAACATCCCAGCATCTCCTGCAACCTGAAGCACCCCCCAGCATGCCCGCCAATAGCGAAATACGCATTGTCCGTTGTGGCGAGGCTCTTTAGAATAAAAGGCAATGAAGTTGCACCATTTGCGGGGACCTGTTTTTTTGCTACAACCCAACCTGTCGATTGACCCCAATTTTACACCTTGGTTTGGGTTTGCGGAACCAAACAAAACATACCTGGACCATAAAGTTGTGTCCCTTTGGTGTTTCGTAGCAGACATTTGCTACTCGGGCCTGTTTTTCGGGGGAACGGGCGCAAATTTGGATTCGAGCATTTTGGCTATTGCGGCGGCTTCTCTCTTCTCATATAGCCTGTTGCATGGAAACATGCGGAAGCATACCCGCAAAATGGGCGCAAATACCAACAAAACGAGCGTAGCTACCCGCAAAACGAGCGCACATACCTGCAAAACGAGTGCAACTACCTGCAAAACGAGCGAACATTCAAATCATGTAACAAATTGAATTTTATAATTATACAAGAAGCCCGTCTTCATGAAACGAGCGGTTTCTTGGGAACGAGCACTTCTTGGATCATTGGACGAAATAGTTGGCACTAGCTTCTTTTTTTCTCGTGACACAAATTTATGTAACAATGCAAAATGCAGGTTATCAAGAGACAACCAGAAGTTGGCCGCGTTGGCCGGACGGATTCAAAGGAGCACCTGATCCAGCTGTCTCACTCAACGGGGCTTTATTGCCAGGGATCCTTAAAACGATTTAAACTCACTGTCTTTCGAACGATAAAACGATCCAAACCCACGGAAGCCCATGAACTCAAAGACTTTCGAGTCACCTTAAACCCCAAGTCAGCCGCCTCGGCATCTTTGACCTCAGCTCGAAACGCATTTCCTGCTGGGTCTCGTTGGGTCTGAAGGCCCCGTGAATTCCACTGGACGTGCTTCCACCCAACATCTACCATCGTCTTCTCGGCCCCCAAAATGTGCCTGTTTCCTCGTGGGTTCCCTTTAAAGCCACGAAAAAAGAGAAAGAACAAAAAGGACGCCCTCGAAAAGGACAGACCCACTCGGACATCTGCGAGAATCGATCAAGTCCTTCAGTCAATGTCCTTCTGTCATCAAGAGCCGAAGGCGAAATGGCAGGCCTTCCGCAAATATGTCACGTGACCTGACGGGAGCTGTGCGCCCAACAAGAACTCCACTTGCCGCTGGACTGGAACGACTGACATAGATGTCTTGGATGGTTCACATGCTGAACACCAACGCCATGATATGATATGGATGCTTGGAAAACAATCCACGGCTACAAGGTGCTCCAAACCCCATGCCGAGACATTTCAAGACACACCCAAACGCCACATGGTGGCATTTGCAATTGCTGTGGTTTGGATGCGACGAAAACATTATCTTCCTAAAAGTCTGGGTGGGCTTTGCCACCAAGCAGAAGATGCAAGCTGTTGTCAATGTGGCATTCATACCCAGAAGTGAATAGCTGGCAAAGACACTCGATGAAGGGTCATCCAGTACATACCCAAATACTCTATACCAATGGGTGTGAATGTGATGGTACTCTTTTGGCAGTAGTTTAACAGGGAAATCGAAGCACGCCTTCCCTTTTCGGGGTCTGGAGACACCCTTTTAGACACCCCCACCAAGGCGTCGGCCGCGGTGATCCCGTGCTCACCTGCAAGGAACACGAACGCGTCTATGTCCATGGAAAGCAAAGGAAAAGGTGTCCTGTTCGTTCGGGTGATGCTTGGTTGACGTTGGAAGGGGAGCAAACAAATAAATTTTAGCAGCTAAGTGGGGATTTCGAGAAAAAGTAAAATGTTTCCCAACGACAACCATGGATGGGTGATCCGTTCAATTCACTCAGAAGTGGAACATCATGCGACAAAAAGGGATGACCATCCCCATGACTACTTCTAGGTCCAGATTTGAGAGGTTAGAATAAGGCTACCACTTTTTTTTAGCTAGTCTATTTTAGGAGGGAACCCCTTCCAACCAACAAAGTTTGTCAAAGGGCACTACTGGGGGACTAGTCTTCCACTGTGACCCCTCTGTCAACTTGTTGTCAGCTGTCAGGAGCTGATTCACGGAGTGTGGTGCCCTTGCAGCCTGTAACCCCCAAGTGCCATCAACCTGAGTGTGACACTGAGGCCGGGTTCTGTGGATGGCAGGTAGACACTACGAGTCACTAAGGATTGAAACCCGGAGTTTGGCCATATCTCTGCCAAACTCGAAGAACACCTAGCCACGAATGAGGCACCGAGCTAACCTCCAAACATGTATAACCGCATTCGAATTGGCGCTTGGTTCTGTGTGTTTGGTGGAAAGTGGTCGATTCTTCGCTGGGGTGAAATTGGCCATGGGTCAAAAGCCCGTACCCCCAGTGCACATCCCAATCCTCACTAAAATAGGTTCTAAAATGGGCGGTGCACCTACCTCAAATGGACAATTGGTTTTGACCCACAGCCACATCCAAAAATAAACATTGAGCATAGCTGATAAGCTACAACCAGCCGGCGTGCATTGCAATCCAAGGCTGGCCAACGCCCAATTCTTCCGCCCAGCCGAAACCAGAAACATCAGAAAGGTTGAAACCAGTCGAAGACGCTCAGCAACTTGCGTTTGCGGTTGCGAGAACTATACTCCTCCTGAAACGTCGGAAAGGAAAGTGGGCAGGGAATACCAATCACCTTGATTTACTAGTTCCCACGAGGTTACGGGATGAATTGATTGATTTAGACCAGTAGCTGCCCGCCAGGGAAACAAAATGCCTTCGCGAAACGAATCACTGCAATCCGGCTCTAGGCCCAAGTGCCAATACAAAGGAGTGACAAACAAATTCAAACCAACTCTGAACAACTCTGGGCTGGCAATACCCCATTGTATAAAGTCGCAATGTTCACGAAACACTGCATCTGGCTGGTCCAATACATCACCAACTAGGCACAAACCACTTTGCTTTGCAACACCCTTCGTCCGTCCTGTCCGCAGCACAGTAGCTTTTCCTGGCAACGAGCGAGCGGACTCTACGACCCCTCCATGGACGCGCATGTGTCACGTGTGGCTTTGACATGTTTTCGTTCACCCTCCCTTGAGTTGATTCACGGAACACCAAAAGGAAAACCGCCATCTGGGGGATCACCCAAAATTCAGGAAGGGATTGCCCCAAATCCGAAGTCGACCAACTTACTGGTGGTTTCCCTGGAAAACCATTGCTGGAGCTTCCCTTTTGCACACCAGGGGACCCTGCCGCGCAACCAACCCCTCGCCTGGCTCGCAGCCCAGCGCGTAGGACTCCGGCGCAACCTGTCCAGTGCATGTCTCTTCTCGGCCTTTGCTTCGCGTGTGAACAGGGCTTCGGGGGCTCGCGTTTCACCACGGCACGCGTTTCACCACGGCACGCGTTGAGAAACGCTGGCTTTGCAGTTGCTACCATACAATGATCTATGCTTTCAAAGCAGGAGGGTTCCTTAAATGCGTCCCGCCCGCATTGCTGCCATTTGCCGCCTGAAAGGACATTCTCAAATCCGCTCTCATAGGACAACTCTCTGATCTGGTGCAGAAGGGAACTTGATCTGCTCTGGCAGAAGCCCAAAATCAGCGCTGCCAGCCAGGAACCCTCAGGCCGAGGCCGGCTTACATTCCTACCTGCGTGTACAATTCTTATAGTTCCAAAAACCCGATTTTGCGAGGGAGTTCTGAATCGCGTGGTCCCCGATACCTTGGGGATTCCCAAGAAATACCATAGATACCCTCCCCAGCATAGCACCTGTGGGGTCCCTGGAAAATAGATTTCCTCTTGCAGGAACCCCCTGGTGCCATGTTGGTTGGAGTAAGGGGTACCAAACGGGCCAATTTTGAAAAACAGAAGCACTCAAGTGGTATCCCCAGCCCCGGACCCCCCCTCTGAAACCCTCCTTTTGAACCCCTGAAAGAAAACTGGAAAACTGGGCCTAGCGACGAAATCCATAGCTTTCAGTTGTTGGGGAAGAACACTCCAACTAGATCCAGTAGAGAGGTGAGACTAAGGGTACTATCCTTTTCTCCGTAGTCTATTTTAGTAGTCAGCGATGGCCTCGATGATGCAGCCGGCCGGAGACATCGATGGCCAAAGTCGGCCGGAGCTCGGAGCCGGGGCTTTCAATGCAAAACCCTGGTATCCAATGGATCCGCTAAAACCCACACAGAAGCCGCAATATCATCAGCGAAAAGCGACATACACCGGCAAGACAAATATCCATTCACAGGATTGCAGTAGATATTCACATCTCCTTTCCGGTACGGCAGACTTCGTAGCTACGTATTGTGACGTCCCAGATCCTAGAGCAACGGTGAGTGGGTCAGTGGGTGGGTGGGGTGGGGAGAGTGGGTGGGTGGGGTGGGTGGGTGGGGTGGGTGGGGTGGGTGGGGTGGGTGGGGCTGGGTGCGCGGGTGGGTGATAAGCCAATCTGAGGCATGTGGGCCGCTTATGCCGCTTCAAAAAAAAGAACACATGCCGGATGAAACGACTCCACGGGCGTCGCTCATTGGACCTCTCTGGAGCCTGAAGCCGCGGGAGCTTTAGCAATTCTGCACGCATTGCTTGCGCCAGAAAAGCCAAGGTTCAAATCAACTTTTCTGGGTGAAGTGCATGCAAAAAAAGAACATGCCAGTGTTTCACAGAGTTCTTCCCCAAATTGACAGTCGGAGTAAGCAATCTTCGCCTGCTCAATGCTGAACTTCCGGCCCCCCCACCCTCTAAATATTGTATACCTTGAAAGCCATTCCCAAAATTTCAAGACCTGTGCCAATTCATATTCCGGTCATAGTTCCGGGTATGGCCATTCCAGTTCACCAACACATAGCCAGAAACCACAGCAATTGTCTAGTAGCTTGCAATGGCTTGACAAGCCCAAGAAGGCCGGAGAAGGTGGCTTTTTCTGCCTGAGGTTCTTCAGGCTTTGGAAAATACCAACATGTTCCTTTGGCTTCCCCTCTAACAAACTGGTCGACCCAAAGGAACTAACTTGTCGACCCAAACCTTTTCCTTTTTTCCTCTAACAAACTGGTCGACCCAAAGGAGGTTCACTAATTAAAGGTAAGCAAATCATGCAGGTCAGGCAGTGCTGCCCTCAATTGTGACCAACCGAGAACTGCCTGGGTCTTCCAACCGGATGCGGCAACAGCTTTTGGGGGGCTGACTCTCGTTGCCTGGTTGCCCTCGGAGATCTCCAAAGATGTCCATCCTTTTGATCCCCCGCCCATTTGGCGGCAAGCATTCAGCAGTCCTGCATCCTTCATTCCCCCCCCATGTCCTTCATCCAAATGCTGATGTCTCACCCTGCAATGTCAGGGGGAGTTGATGTAGTGGTATCACAAAGCGTACTTCTACCAGGTATGATGTTTCTCACTGCAAATGTCGTCGCATCTTCAGGCAAGGACCGTCTGTACAATGGTCGCAAGGAGCCCAGAACCGGGTCCCTGAATTGCGCATGCCTGAATTCCAATTTTCCATGCAGCTTACACAGCTCCGGCTCAAGAGGCAATCTCCGGCTCGGGCTCTCACAATACCATCAGCTGGAAGCCCACGAGGAATGTTGCACAGACCGCATTTCTTCATGACTAATAGGAACTGCAAGCAAACTTTCCTGACTTCAACAAGAACACAAGCAAAGATCAACATTCACCTGAGGCGTCCTGTTGCTTCCAACTCCCCGCATTTCCAACTCGCGGCCCTCGAAACTTCTCACAGGCCGCAGAGACCGCCTTCGGTGGACCGGATGTGGCCCTCGTACATGCGGTGCCTCGGAGCCACGCCCAATGCGAATGAAGGTTGCCTCTTGAGGGTTGGGGTGGTTTGGGGTGGTTTAGGGTGGTTTGGGGGTTGCCTCCATTTCTTCAACAAGCCTGGACAAAAAAAGAAGTATGTCCAGTTGTGATTCCTCTTAAAAACAAAAGGGGAAACAACATATTATTGAGCAAATGGAAGCCTCTTAGAGGCAAAGAGTTCTCAAACATGTCCAGAGTCTGGTTACACTTGTACTGCCCCTGAAAGAAAACATGAAACCTCACTTGAGAGAACCCCTCTGTTTTTGTTGGCCTTTGGAATAGCTGTCAAAAACAAGCAAGCGGATGCAAACAAAAAGGGGCCTGGGAGTTGCTTGGGACCCTTTCGGAACCAAAAGACTCTGGCTGTTTAAAATGACACGGTTGTGGCTGAACTTGTGTGCCTCCTTTCTCGCCAACCAATCCAGTGCCTGACAGGCCAAACAAGCAACTAACTGCAGGTTGCAACAGTGCTGTCGATCTGCTTGGCATGTGGCGATATGTCCGGGCTAAGTGAGAAACTCAAGCAAGCGACTGCACAGGCCAACACATTGCCGGGAGCATGAACATGCATCTAATGTGTGCAAAGACCTGGATGAAACTTGAGACGGTCTAGCGATGGCCATCCATCAAGTGTCCCACCCCCCTTCCCTTCAGCACCTAAGCTGTACCTGGCCCCGGGAGGAAAAAAAGACCAGGAAGGCAACCCCAGTTTCTGACTTTTGATTCCCCCCCCAAAAAGCAATCCATATGACTGGCCGCATGGCTCTTCGGGGCCCTTCGATGGACCAAGATCTCGGCGCGTTCCTCGCCATGATGTTGCCGGCGCTCGCGGCCAGCTGGCAGCTGGCTCACAACTTGGTCGGATGGACAAATCTGCCAAAACTGGGTGGGTTCTGTTCTAGTCCCGTTAAACCAACTCCAAGAAAGGGGACCCTGAAAAAAAACACCCAGGATAAATGGACAAACATCCTGAATCAGTTTGTAGGTGGTTGATCCCAGTATTCAAGCTCATAGGGTTTCAATAGGGGTTCATCAATCCCCGCTTGGGTCACCAAAAGTCACTGGGGCTGCAGGGGAGAATTAGGTACATGGGTTGTCCACACCACTCTACGACATGAAATCGCCACCAAAGGGGGGCTCGCCCTAGAAAAGCAAACAAAAACACAAAAACACACACGAACACAAACACAAACACACAAGGTTTGCCTACAAGTTTGCTTGGGCCTAATGAAAAACGCTCGTCAAACAAACTAAAATAAACAACCTCCATCCCTTGGCACTGTGTAGTTCGAGGTGCTTCACTGAACTGCGGAAAAAAAAGAACAAGAAAAACACGAAACAAGTAGCAACTTGCTTGTATCTTACCCTGAAACAATCTCTCGCCACGGAATCAAACATGGCTGAGACCACCCCCCAGCTCCGCCGGAGGATGTGCCCAAAGTACTGATCATCCTGGATCCTCAGAGCGCATTGCGCCAACCAACTCTCGCTTAAAGCCTTTGCTCTTTGCTGCGAGTTGTTTTCTAATCAAGGAAGCTAGATGAATCTCATATTCACTTCCTGAGACTGGCCAAAAGTCTGAGCTTCGTGTTTACCTCTAAACATGGCCACCAACACGGGAAGTCAAGAATGACATAGTGGGCAGTCATCATGCCATCGCAACTGATCGACCTTATCTGCACCTCCACAGGCCCCAGCCTCTTTTCAAGTTGTCACACGTTCAAAAACCAATGAGTACCCATGAGAAACTAACTCCGTACCGGTACTAGCACTCACCACACAATGAGTAAATATCACCAGCGCAACCTGGAATGCGAAACAAACAGGGGTCCCTCAAAAAGCACCAACATGTGCAGAGCTTGTAAGAGGTCCCCGCAAGAAAGGCGAGCTTGCCCTTTCTCGGATAAGGATTGGGCAGAAGCCTTCTGTCAGCCAACATCCTAAAGTCCAACCTGACCCCCTGGTTAGCAAGCGATTCGCTTGCTTAGCAGATCAAAGTCAGAACAAAACCGTCCTGCAAGCGCACAAGAGGACAAGGGCACCAACTTGCAAAGTCCGGAAACTGAGGCCGCGTCCGACAGAGCAGAAACTCTCCCATACAGTCAGGCACGGTTTGACCAGATGACCAAATAGGCGTAAACCCCCAAGTTGTCCTGTTTCTGGGGGGGCTACGGCACCTGGGTTTCAGCCTAGCCTAATGGAAAAAGTAGCACCCTGCTTGCGTTGCCGAAGTTGAGCCCAAAGCCCTGCCGAGATGTTCTCGTAGTACTTGGCAAAGTCGCTCAAGGAGATCCTCGGATCGACTGTGGCTCCTCATACTCCAACCAAAAGCAAGCCAAAGGAGAGCCACGCCATTCTTTGTCCACTTGCTTACCCTGCGAAGCAGCATCCCTATCGACAATGCTGAACCCTGCTGGAGCTATCGAGGAATGAGATCAAATCAGCTCGACATTGCGAGGCTCGGCTCAATCTGGTATAGACGGGCAAACCAAATGGTGACAATTCTATAACACAAAATCGTGGGCCCGCAACGAGAGAAGAACCGTGCACCCAGAACCAGCGAGTTGTTCCTGACGATCTTCATGTTTCTTGGACATGTCTTGGGTATGGAGCACGTGATTTCTGGAGTTCCACATTTGTCTGCATCAGACGCTACATTCCTGGAGGCTAAGGCCTGCCCAATATATGTCGCCCAGGGCAGCTAAAGCCTTGCAACGAGTTAAAATGATGGCCGCAAGGCTTCTCTTAAACCTCACGTGATGTAAACAAATACCTCGAGCGTGTTTCGACCTACGGAAGTGGCAAAGCCGACAAAAGAAACGGAAAGCAGAAGCCGATTGGAAGCTCTGCTAAAAAAAGCATATAGGATTGGACAGCATTCAAGTCAATCTCTACCCAAAAGCTAAATCGGAACCTAGCAGGATGCTATCTGCCATAGTTCCAGCCGTTTAGATTGCCATCGATGCCCAGATTTCCTATTCCGTCTGAAACTGGGGATTTTAATTCGGGATTCCCAGCACCAACTAAACTAAACCTCGGTTGCTTTCTGCTCCCCTGCTAAAAGTGTTTAACTTTTAGTGGTTTAATACGGAAAACCCATTAGTTGGCGAAAAGTTAGAGTCCTAACATCCAAGCAAAAATGCACCTCTGAAAAGGCCTGGCTTCAGTCGCCAAAATGTTTTGCTGACGCGGCTTTTGTGTCTTTGAGAACCTGGCTTGCTGCCATGGCGGCTCAACTGTGCCATCACCTCAAGAAAGACCTGCGTGCGGCAGCCAGGTGATGTGGATCCTGCACCATATTGAAACCATGGAAGACCATTGTTGGTATTTGCAGAGGATCAGAAACCAGGGTTTCTTCAGTGGTGC